AGGGGGCTGGGGCTACCGGCTGGATGGCTTCCCCCCAGGGCGGCCTTCTCCTGACAATCTGGACCAGATCTGCCTTCCTAATCGTCAGCATGTGGTGTATGGCCCTTGGAACTTGCCGCAGTCTGGATTCTCCCACCTTACTCGCCAGGGTGAGACCCTCAATTTGCTGGAGACTGGATATTCCCGCTGCTGCCGTTGTCAAAACTACATAAACCGCTTGGACTGTGCAAAACTTGTGGTAAGGGTTGGGCTCTTGATCCTGGGGGTGTGCTTTAACCCCCAGAGGGTATGTACGTTTCAAGCACTAGAAACCTAGGCCTGCGTGTCAGCAACCTCAGGTCCCTTTTGTTGGCCCTACCTTGGGCCTCCCCAGTATGCCGGGAGAGTAGAGGACAGCCTCTGTTTCTCTCTTATTTGCCTGCCCAGAGTCCTTTTCTGGAGCCTGGGAGGAAGACAGGAATATGGACAGTGGGCTACTGGGCTGACCCACCCCTCTTGCTCTAGTGGAAGGATGCAATGACCCGGTTCTGTGAGGCCGAGTTCTCGATCAAGACTCGAGCCCACTGGTGCTGCAAACGGCAGGGGGAGGCTCGAATGTCCTGCTTCCAGGAGGCAGCTCCCTGGCCGCATTACCAGCTCCGGGCCTGCCTCAGCCACCAGCCTGGTATTTCCTCTGGCCCCGAGCTGCCTTTTCCCCCTGGGGTACCCACACTGGACAATGTCAAGAACATCTGCCACCTAAGACGCTTCCGCTCAGTGCCACGCAACCTCCCAGCTACTGACCCCATCCAAAGGCAGCTGCAGGCACTGACCCAGCTGGAGGGGGAGTTTCAGCACTGCTGCCAGCAGGGGAACAACCACACCTGTATATGGAAGGCTGTAAGTGGGCCCTTCAAGAGCCTGTCTGCCTGCCTGCCCATCTCCAGCCTCTGATCACACCAGTCCATTCATCCATGTACCTCCCCACTGTGAGCACTCTGTCTGTCTGCTTGTGAGTGTCCATCCACCCATCGTGTTCATCATCTGAGTCTGTTCATCTTGAGCCCTCCTCCTACACTCTGGCCTCATCTACCCATGATCCCACACATGCACCTGCCATCCATCCATCCAGCTTTGGCCTCACCTGACCCTCTCCAGCTGCCGTTCCAGTTCATCTGTGACCAGCTCCGAACCTTACCTGTGCTTCCAACCTTCCACCTTCCCAACCCCGTACACCCACAACTGCCTCTTTACCCTTCCCCTTTGGCACCTAGGGCTGGGGGTCCTTCATCTTATAGAGTGAGGCAGTAAGGGAAACAGAGGGTCAGGGGAGAAGGGGCCAAGTGTCCAGGCTTCTGACTTCCTCTCTCTGGCCCACAGTGGGAGGATACCCTTGATGGATACTGTGATCAGGAGCAGGCTATAAAGACCCACCACCACTTGTGTTGCCACTACCCTCCTAGCCCTGCACGTGATGAGTGCTTTGCCCATCGGGCCCCCTACCCAAATTATGACAGGGACATCTTGACCGTTGACCTCAGCCGAGTCACCCCCAACCTCATGGGCTATCTCTGTGGAAATGGAAGAGTTCTCACCAAGCAGTGAGTCTTGCCCAGTTCTTCCCTAACTCTCTACCCTTCCCCAAAACCTACCTTCCAGGAGACCCTCTGAGGTGCTACCGGGATGAGCAAAATTATGGTCTCCAAGCATCATTTTGGTGCTTAGTGATGCCCAAAGACCCTGACCCCTGCCCCTTTTCCACCAACATAGTAAACAGATTCCTGGGCTGATCCGGAATATGACTGCCCACTGCTGTGACCTACCATTTCCAGAGCAGGCCTGCTGTGCTGAGGAGGAGGTGAGTGGGAGGCACAGGGGGTCATAGTCCCCAAAGGAATGTGGGGGAGGGAAGACGGAGGGCTAGAACTGCTGGCTACCACTTCTCTCTTTTTTTTTAACTTCAAACTAGTCCACAGAATGAGCACCAGGGGGAAGACATTTTTCTTTGTTCTAGAAGTCTTCATTCCTGACCTGACCTACTCCTCTAAGTCCTTTTATGTCTTCTCTGGGCCTCAAGCTTCAAGCAAATGTGCATATCTGTGGGTCACAGAGTCTAGCCATGCAAGGCAGCCTTGTACTCTCTCTGGGCAGGAGATCTAGGAAGGGACCCAGGGAGAGAGCAGTAGAGGGAAGCTGCTGAGGGAAGGGGCACTTCGGGCACCCAAGAATCCATGCCTGACCTCTGACAGTCCCCTTCCCTACCACCTCTGCTTTACTCTTCTCCTTCATTAGAAATCAGCCTTCATCAATGACCTGTGTGGTCCTCGACGTAACTTCTGGCAAGATTCTGCCCTCTGCTGTAACCTGAGTCCTGGAGATGAACAGACCAACTGCTTCAACACTAATTATCTGAGGAATGTGGCTCTAGTGGCTGGAGACACTGGGGGTGCTAAGGGCCAGGGGGAGCAGAGCCCAACTCAGGGAACAAATATCAGCCCCACGCCCAAATCCAAGGAAGAGTGAGTCACCCCAGAGCCTTGGAGGATCAGATTGGGGGAACTCCACCCCACCCCACCCTCCTTGAACACTCATAGTAAACACCTCTTGGATTTGGCATCTTTGTTGTCTGTAACATCTCATGTACAAATACACCCTCCTCCTAAGGCTGCTTGGATTTTCTTCAGTGACTGGCCACTAGGCCCACTGCCCTGTCCCCACCGAGCAAAACTGGTCCACAGCTGTGATGGGATATAACTAAATGGCTTAACTTTACTCTTGTCACCTCAAATGTATTCACGTATTTTAAAAGGAGTGTCACCTTGTTAGCCAGCTATCGGGATTCAGAGGCAAAAAGATATGGTTCATGTTTTTGCAAAGCCCCATTTTTAATTCCTTGGAGTTCGATCCTTTTGATCCTTGAAGTCCCTGCATTGATTCATTCAGAAACCATTTATTGAACATTTATGTCCATTGTGCTTGACCAGGGGCTACATGTCCAGAAACTACACAATCCCTTCTGTCAAGTTGCTCACATTCCAGGAAACTAGCAGATACAAGTGCTGTGGTGTAGGGCTCCCAGTGTGCCAGTATGGTAAGAGCAGGAGATAACCCAGCAGGGAGGTTTGCAGTAAGGCTGGGGCCAGTACTGGGGAAGACCTCTGCTGGGGGTGAAGTCCCAGCTTCTCCAGGAGAGTAGAGGGTGCAAGGGGCAGCCATGGCTCAGGCAGAAGGGACAGCTCATGCAGAAGCGCAAAGGCTGAAAGGGCCTCTGGTGGTCTTCCACCCGATGCGGCCAGGAAATTAAGAAGCAGGTCGTCGCGAATGCCTCATCAAGGGTTTTAAGCAGATCTTGGCGATTCTGCGGCACGAGGGCACTGGCTGTTTCAAGAAGAGCATGTGCTCTGATTTGCCTTTTACAAAGTCTAGTCGGCAGACAGCCAGGAGAAACCTGAGAGGGCAGTTCGGAGAGTTTCGTGCCCATCCCTAAGGGGAGCGGGCTGTAGCTCCAGGTCTGAACTGGACCACAGAGTGGCGGGACTCAACAGCCCTTGGAAGCTGCCCCCAGTTAAAACGAGCTGAAAAAAATCGGAATGAAGACCCAGGTCCCGTCGGGACGACTTTTCTGTCACTCTGCGGCCACGACAACTTTCCAGACGGCGGGACTTCCCCAGCTCGTTGTGGCGGAGGAGGGTGAGCCAAGGACCGCCGTCCTGCCCCAGCCAGGGACTCCGTGGCTCTCAGCCAGACATTCGCCGCTGTCTCCTCCCCACCTCCACAGCCTTTTATTTATTTACTTATTTCTACTTTGCCCGGAAGGCTGTTTCTAACCAAGCCGCGACTTAGCTGCTCCTTCGTTTGTCCGCCAGCACCGGGGCCAATGAGCGGACGAGAGCCGCTCAGTGTCCCGCCCCCGCGCCTGCGCAGACGAGAGGCGCCTCTGACGCCGCTAGGACCCAGGGACTGGGAGGTGGAAACCCGGCCGTCGCTCCCGGCACCCCAGCTGCCAGTCTGCCTTCTGCCCGGCCCGAAAGAGCTCGCGGGGAGTCGAAGCCCTGGCCGGTGGAAGGCCCGGAGGGCGGGTCCGCCACCTGGAGGTGTTTCAGGAGCTTCCAGGAGATGTTTTAGGGCAGTATTTACCAAGAGCAGCGCCAAATGCTTGATAGGGAGTCAAACTGCCAGGACCACTGCCGCAATGCTTAAGAGTGTAGTCTATGTGGCTGCAGAATAGAACCGGAAAAGCAATAGTAAGCACCTACGGTGAAAGGTTGTCAAGTGCTAAATAAATATCAGCATCGTGAGCAGAGAATTAAAAGAAGTAATTCTTTCTAGAGACCAGGGAACTATTTAAGTGGAGGAGGTGGCTTTGGATACAGCCCGGGAGCATGGATTAGGATTGCAGTTAGTTTCCAAGAAAAAGTGAAAGCGTTAGTATTTGGCTGTATAGATAAACATTAAAATACAGCTTATTAAGTTTAGGGGCGGTGAATAAAGGAGTCAGAGCACCCACCTACTTGAAGGGGAGTAGGAAAGCTTCATGGAGGAATTCAAGCTTGAATAGGACTTTGCTGTAATGGAAGGGTTGGATGTACAAAACCCTAGATATATGCAAAATTAAGCTCAAGTCAACAGTGTCCGTATTGAGTTAGGCAGAGTGCTGATTTCTGGCTATAAAAAAGACTAAAACACCATCCTCAAGGATTTTTACCTCTGTGGAGTCTTGAATGTTTAATGATGTACATACCCGCAAGACTGTGGGAGCCACCTACCCTAGCTTTCAGGGAGATCTAGGAGAAGGCAATAAAGGAGAAGGTATGGCTGGTATATTTGAAGAGCCGCTGAGCAGTAAAAATGGTGTGAGGGAGAAGCTAGGTATGAGGTTGGAAATTTAGGCTTAGTCGTATCTTCTGGAAGATCTTGAAGGACTGTAGAAGTTATGCCAACCTGGACATAAGCACCTGTGAAGGACTGTAAAGAAAAGTGGTGTGAACTTTTTTTGTTTTTTAAGATAAATCAGATGCACAGACAGGCAGTGGATAGGAATAGCTGAGCTGGTGAGAGGGTAGACAGGGACGGTTCAGAGGGTGAGATTATAACTTCAATAAAATTGTGAGAAATTCTGAGACCCCAAAATCTGTTAATTGTACAGGGGATGAAGAGGGAGGGGACATTTAAAAAATATATTTAGGAGATAGAATTGACAGAACCTGTTTGCAGCAGATGTCTAGGATAACTCCCAAGTTTGAGGTTTGGGTAGCTATAAGGTAGGATGTACACTAGAGGAAACGGTTTTATAGGAGGATGATAATGACTTCGATTTGGACTCTCAGTCATCCTAAGTGAAATCACCTTCAGAAGGAAGATGTCAAAAGCCTAATTCTAGGGTACTGAGTGTGTATGGGAGGCCAAGAAGGGGAGGCAGCATATACAGCCTGATCTTTAAATGTACACCTGTGCTCTAAACCAGTGGCCTATTAGACACAACACTTGGAAGTATCTTAAAATACCACAAATTCAGCTTGTTCAAAAGTGAACTCTTCTGGGTGTAGGGAGTGAAAAAGAAAAAAATAACAATAAATGAGTTGTAGACCCTAGGTGGGGGGTATGTGAGTTTTCACCATACAAGGTGTCAAATTCTTATATTTTTGAAACTTTTCATAAAATATTAAGAAAAATGAGCTGTCATTTTTACTCTGCAACTGTTCCTTCCCCAGTGTGCCCCATCTCAATAAACACAGCCACCATCTCAGTTATTTAAGCAAGAGACTTAGGAATATCACTGTGAGGAAAATGGAACTTTCTGACCAGGATTCCTGCCTGAATTTAATATCACTCATTGTGCCTGTAAGAGCCTGTTTGCACATTTATGGGATGTTTACCAGCGACAGAGCCGCTGGTCACTCATGGGTGTACCTACCAGGGGCAGTGTAGAGGAAACACCCATTCACTTCTCTGCCTGAGTTCCTGGTACACAATTGGTCAGGAGTTTGCCAGTCACCAGGGACCTGCACACAGAGTTACTCCCAAATGGGAGCAGGGAACTGGGAGGCTGGGAGAGCAATGAGAGAGCCATAGAGCCACGGTGCTCCTGGAGAATTAAGCCTGGGCAGGAAACACCCTCCTCCTGGAGCTACAAGCATTCTTTAATTAATCTCTCCATTTTCCCCTTCCATTCCAATCAGTCTGTAAATCTAAATATCTCTTAAGTCCATCAACAATGGAGTTGCTCCTTACACCAAGGTTAGGTTCTAAAGTCAGTACATAAGGCAAATGTTACACAGTCAACATAACCTTTGGAAATCCCTTAAATCACTCATGAAATACAGTAGCCATGGTTTTGTGTTCACAACTCTGTACTCAAAATGTATGTACAAGTGTGTGTATATGTGCATATATAGTATGTACACAACAGGATATACAATATAACATTAAACTTATACACAATATGTACATTAAGTTACATTTTCAAAATGAGATAGTGCTGCATATAGTTGATCAGAGTTGTTAAATGCACACAGGGCGTAAGGACACTATTTCTCACCTCTCCCTTGCCTCCACCCTATTCCAAGCTTCCACCAACCCTCAGAATTATTGAAACAGCTTCATAACTAGTCTCCTGGCTCCTATTTCTTACTTTGTCCAATTCATTCCCCACACTCCAGGCAGAATGACTTGCTAACTGATTTGACCAGGTCACTTCACTGCTTTAAATCCCTTAATAATGCCCACTGTTCCCTTAGAACAATGTCTAAAACACCCCCATATGGATGCCCAGGCTTTCCATCTGGCCTCTGCCCAGTCCTTGATTTCATCGACTTCATCACAGACACCTCTTTCCTCTTATTCTCTAAGCCTTGTCAGACCTGGGTAGTCCACCTTTCAATTCCTCAGATCCACCACATTTTTTTCTGCTTTGGGGACTTTCACATGCTGCTTTCTTCCAGTAAAACTCTTCCCCACTCTGCTCAGATGGCTAAGCTCTTGTGTGCTCAGCAAGCCATCCTCCTCCAACCCCCCAATACTTTGTTCTTGTTGAATTTCAAATAAAAAAAATCATGTGAAATAACACACATTTAAAATGTGTGCTAAACATGAATGTATAGTTCAATGAATTATTATAAAATGAAACTCCCTACCACAACCACCCAGGTCAAGAAAAGTGATATTGCCAGCATTGCAGCTATAATGCTGCTTTCTGGTCACAGATTCCTCCTACCCCTATAAAATAATTACTATTGCTATCCTGATACTTAATAGTAATAATTTACTTGCTTTTTCTTTATAGTTTTAACACCTAAATATGAATCCTTAAAACACTCATTTAGGTTTTTTAAAGATAAGCTTTATTGAGGTATAGTTCACATACCATGTAATTCACCCACTTAAAGTGTACTATTCAATGGTTTTTGGTATATTACATAATTTTTAAAGATTGTGGTAAAATATATATAACAAAATTTGCCATTTTAACAATTTTTAAGTGTGTCATTTAGTGGCATTCATTACATTCACAATGTTGTGCAGCCATCACAATCATAATTTCCAAGTGTTTTCCTCACCCCAAACAGAAACTCTATTACCCTTAATCAGTAACTACCCATTCTCACCTCCCCCCAGCCCCTGGTAACCTCTAATCCACTTTCTGTCTCTATGAATTTGCCTATTCT